CCGCCCCTCGCCCCCCTCCGCCCCCCTCCCGGAGGGGGCCCGGGGCTGCGGGAGCCGCGTCCCGCACCCGGCACCCAGGGCCCCGGTCACCTTCGGGCAGCACAAAGCAGCGCTCCCGGGAACCCAGCGTGAGACACTGCGGTTTTTTTTTAAAAAAAAAAAAAAAAAAAAAAATGGTTGGCAGGGACTGGGAGTGGGGAACCGGCCCCACTGCCCCGGCCCCCATCGCCCCAATTCTTCTTCTTCTCATTAGAAATGCCCAGCAACATCCCCCCAGACAAAGCCACGGCAAACAAAAAGGGGGGAAGGGGAGAGAAGAGGATTTTTTTTTTCCTTTAAAAAAAAAAAAAAAAAAAAAAAGAAGAAAGGAGTGACTGAGGGCTGATGGAGGAACTGGTGACAAGAAGAAGGATGCTTTTTTTACCCTTGTCAGATGTGTGCTTTTTTTCCCCACTGTGATGAGGATATTATTAGATCAAATGGTGTAAACAGCTGTACCCTGTCCTCAAAGGAGACTTCAGCATCATACCCCCAACAGCTATTACGTTCGTGCTTTTACCTTTTCTCACCCCTCAAATGAGTTCAAGCCTGACTTTTTTTCCTTTTCCCCCGTGAGACTGTTGCAGTCTGTGGGAATCAGACCATTAATGTGAGTGGATTCCACATCACTCCCTCAGAAATTTTATGTATACCAAAATAATCCATAAATCAAAATTTTCAAACCTTTTTGTCTTGAGTAGAAGTTGGGCTCAGCTGAGCTGAGAATAAAATCTATTCAAATATGTCCATGTTGGGGGATAATACTAAAATGTCATGTCAGAAGTTTGCCCCTGGCTTACACTTCCAAGCACAGGCTGAGTCAAAGCGTGAGATTCAAACACCTCTGGTATGCAGCCAGGAATTACCCAACGTTCAGATTCGTAACCAAATCCTTTACCTTGGAGCTCCTTTCATTCCTGGTCACACTTATCCATTGCTCAGCTCAGTATTTAATGCAACTCACCACCTTCTATAAACAGAAATCCAAACCAAGAGTGCCCACACATTCAGGCTTAACTCCTCAAATTGCAAAAATGACAAGTTGGTTAAATGCCTCTTAGGGAAATGACCCCATAAATGAAGAATATCTTCGTTTTTCCTCCAACGATCAAGCTATGGATGCTTAATGTGAGATAATTTGATTTCTAGGACAAGCAGCTCCACTAATAGACCTGAAAATTACTTTTGTCGTGCTGCTTTTATTGATCTTGCTGTCAGACAGGAGGAAAGAAAAAGTAATTCCCTGCATGCAGCATATTACTTCCTATATAGGATCTTGTAGGGCTACAGCAGCATGGTTAAGTATAATAATTAAAAGACAAAGCCCAAGCCAAATCCTGTGTATATGTACTTTCAAATGTTAAAGTCACACCCACACTGGGAAGACTATAATTATTTTACGTTTTGGACAGAACCCAGCATTCATCTGAGCTTCTGGTTAGGCTCATCTCTGTTATTCTAATAGTTATTTAATAAACAGTGTGTGGAGTTTACATGAAGATAATTTTAAAATAATTTATATTTAAGTATTTCCTGAGGCCCTAAGTAACACAAGGGCTCTATGTTGTAGACAAACAGGCAAAGAACTCTTGACAGTTTACACTCTGGAGACTGAAATCATGGGCTAAGATTTGGGGAGGAATCATCACCACCTTCACTGTGGACAGAGAGCCACACACAGAAATTGAAGTTTACCAAAGTCTCTAAAGGAATCCAAGAACTGAGCTCACATCCCCAGCCTCTGCACAGTGTCTGAACCTTGAGAGCATCTTCCTTTGCTACAAGACGTCAATCACAATATTTTTAAAAACATATTTCTCAAACAACAAAACATCAGGAAACTCCAGAGTTTGCAACTTGGAATTTATCTTTTCAATGGTTTTTGAATGCAGCCGAGATTACATAGCTAACACGGTGGCTTAAAATGAATGGTCTCATTCCAGGTGCTAGAGCAGATGTACACCCATCACAGAACTAAAGTTAAGTCAGAAATGTGTTGGCAACCTGAACAGAAAGGTGATGGACTAAATGGAGAAGAGTCTTGGATTACAATTAATTACTTAACGAAACACTGAAAAAACCCACAATGACAGAAATAAAAACATTTGATAAACTGAGCATTCTTAGCAATAAACACACACATGCGCACACACAAATTCTTTAAAGATCTAGCTCTTCCAATAACAATGCCACAATTTTGTCCCTGCTGTAACGATGAAATCTGGAGTGCTGAATTTGGACTAATACTGCTTTTACTTACTAAAGCATCAAATGGCAATTTCTTTTTTTGCTCACAACTGGTGAAAGAACTGTGACTTCACAAAATAATTCTAAGACAGAGTTTGATCCTTTTCTGAAAAGCTGAGATGCAATTGCCTGTGGTGGTGAAGGACTGAATGTACTTACCCAGACTATCTTTGCTAGTCCTGGTTCCAGTGCTTTGGAGCAGATCAGAGCAATAGGTTTTTTCTCAAAGCTTCATTTTTGTAAAGCTTCGTGAGAACAGAATTTCTCAAAGTACAAAAAAAGGCAAAGAACAATACGAAAGGGACAGGTAGACCGCTATGTTTCTCTGCAAGTTGCAAGTGCAACCTACTTTTTCACTGCAGTCTTGTTAGATCTTGTTTCCCCTCACTCTTTTTTGACTAGTTCCATATAACAAGAAGTCAGTTTTCTACTTCATCATTTCAGCACATCCGTTAGAAATGAGAAATCAAGTTAGAACCTGGCAGCCACCAGCATGTTCAACAGGTGACTGGAAATATTTTGGAAGTACCTTGATTATTTGAAATTGAATTCCAGACAGATAAGGGCAATATATTTAATTCAAAGAAAAATCACTTCCTATGCTTGTCTTGGAATTTGAGTTCATCTACAGGATGTGGACAGGTTCTGGTAGTACAGAATTGACACTTCAGAATTTAAAACCTGATAGCTGTTTTTAACAGATAAGAATATTCATTTAAGTGGAACCCTTCATTTTTCTTTCCTACCTTTATCACTTGTTTCTTGGTCCTCTTATTCAACTGTTCTGCACTGACCTCTCTTGCTCAACAGTGCTATGTAGGGGAAGTGACACAATCCCTAAAAATCACCTTTTGCTACTGTGGATCACTCTGCAGGTTTTTCTTTTGTTTGCATGTAGAAAAGCAAATATAAAAGAAAAATAAACTTTTGAAAGTTCAGAACAGCCACAGCCCATATTCAGAATTAGTTAGTTAAGCATATAAGTTTAGGCATCAAGCAGGAAAATTTTACTTTCCTATGTATTTTCAAGTCATTAATGGGACCAAGTAACAAGCAGAAGTCTTTAATCAGAACAAAGCCTAATAAAGCAAATCCTTATCATGATCTAGGGAGGAGAGTACCTATC